ATGTCCATAAGATAATCCTCCAGAGAGGAGGCATTCATCAGTCAGAAATTCAAAATAACAATATATGTAACTGAAAAAGTTTCCCTGAAAAGTATCGAAGTTAAGCGCACGAACCTGTCCAACTTACAACAAAAGGGGTGTTCAAGTTCCAGGATAAAGGGGTGTCCAAGATATAGGGTATTGTGGACATGTAAAATTATACGATGTTCGCCGGTTCCAATTAAAAGTGCCTAATATAAAGGGGTATCCAGGATGTAGGGGTGTCCATCTTGAGGGATTTTACTGTAATTTACCTTCTGTTTCAATAATATTAAAATTGTTTCTAATATGCAAAATATATCCATGTAATTATTTCAGAAGATGAGAACCATGCAGTAAATTTATTCAGAATCTTGGTACGAATTTCCTTGTTTTATTTAATCTATTTAATATTTTATCCCAGAGGACAATAAGTAATGTAGTTCCATACTCAATTTTTTTTATTAATTTAGTACATTATAGAGGGGCTACTGAACTTTCATGTTCAGTTGTTGATAAATTAATTAACAATTTCGAAGAGCTGAAACAGCATCAGCCCTAGCAGACCACCTTGCATCGCTTACATTTTTCAGTGTTAGTGAATTTCTTCCTAAATATTGATTTAAGACATTCCATCTTCTTGGGGAAACAGAAAAGAAAATTATATAAATATAATGCCCTGCAGTAGAACAAGATTCAGATGCGGTAGAACTATGTTGATTCAATCTGGCATGGACTCCTGAATAGTTTCCTGAAATATTTGAAGCACTGTCGTAACTTTGTCCTCTGCAGTTCGTAATATCAATTGATAAATCTCCTAATATTTTTAAAATATTTTTTTCCCTGTATATTCAACATTGTGATGTTCTACGGGAAGGAAACCTAAAAATCGTTCTTTGAAGATACCATTTTGTGACATGTATCTTATAATAATTACTAATTGATCAACGTGGCTAATGTCAGGGGTTGAACAAAAAATAATAGAAAAAATATTATGCTTCCCGAATTTCAGAAACCATCACCTTTTCAACTTTTTCCGCCTTCAATTCTATAAATTCATCAACAGTCGTACTCCGCGCGCTCACTGGCGGGAGTGAAAACCACGCGCCTACTGCAGGGTTGACAGGGAAACAGTAGCAGTTTTATAATGAAACTAAGCGCTATACATAAGAATTCAAAATTCATAATTACGTGCCAGCTAATTTACTACTTAATTTGTAATTCAATGCATGACAAGTGCGTTTCCGTTCTTCGAGTTTATCTTATAACAAAAAATAATATAATATTAAACTCATCTTTGTTACATAAATCAATATTTTCAGGGTGTCGAACTTCTTGTCAGTCACCAACGAAGAAAATAATAATATAAGTATCATACTTTTTTAAAAATAATATTAATAAACACACAACAGCTATCA